GGCTCTTCACTTAACCAGTCATAACTGAATAAATTCTAGTGAAAAATGTTGCAGCTAGATCACCCTCACATACAGAAAAAGCAATAATCAACATTAAGAGGCCTCCACCTTTTCAAAGTTAGAAAGCATTAATCCAAATGATAATCAGAAAATCTACACTGGGTAAAGGGATTGTGTCAACAAAATATGTATTCAATGCCTTTACTCTAGCATAACAGTTGATACTACAGTTAAATCATAAGAAAATCACTAGTCAGTAAGTTTAGGATTAAAATAGCAATTCAGTGTTTAAAAGCAGATAGTACATTTACCTTCAACGTATGAAGCAGATCCAATAAATAAGTTTTCCTTGGAAGTTTCAGTACCTTTAGAATCAAACATGGATGACTCTGCCAAGCTAGTCCTCCCAGTGTATGATGATAAACTATTTTCAGCCATTGTTTCAACTCACTTTGTTGACTAAAAAAATAAAATTTGAAAAATGCATTAAACAAACATGATCATAGGGCCAAAATAAGCATTAGAAGCTCTACTTCTATACCTAGAATTTATAAAATTATTACCTGTTTTTCTTAATACTGAACCAAAGAAAATCACTCAACTTCTCTGAGCCTCAGTTTCCTTTTCTGTAAAAATAAACATTAATACCTGACTCACAAGAACACAGTAAAAATAATATAATGCAAAAGCACACAGAACATTACCTGACATATAATAAACCTACCTTCCGCCCTCCTGCAACACCTTTGCCCTCGACCATCCTATTTCTCTTCCTATATTCATTTACAATATCACCATAATACCCCGATGCCAATAATGCCAGGCAAAAACTTGGATTCACCCTTACTCTTTCCTGTACCACATTCCCCTCCTCAAAACTCCTATTAATCCCATTAAGTATCTCTGGGACCTGGCCCCTCTTCTCTATGCCCAATGCCACATGGTACTTGGTCTAATACAATGGCTCCAAACAACGTTATCATCAGTTTCTTCAGAAATCACTCTCCACATGGTTTTCAGTGCTATGCTCCTAAAAACAAATGTGACCATATCATTTCCCTGCTTAACACCTTCTATGAGTACCCCTCCTTAGAACCAAATCCAAATTTCCCATCTAGTTTACAATTTTGTTCCAGCCTACCTTTTCAGCTGCATCATCTATAAGTAACTCCCACAGTCCCCATACAATCTCTCCAACAGCAACAATGAATTTCTCAGCATTTTTCAAACACAAATCACAATTTACTTCACACCTATTTGCATAATTAGTGCCCAACTCTTCACTAGCATAGCTTCCAAGCCTTCAGTTCACCACTCTTGACTCCTACTCTGTGGATGTCTCTGAACCTCTCATGTATAACTGGACTGGTTCTTTCAGTATTTTCATATTACTTTAAAAACATCTGTCCTTTAAGGCCGGGCGCGGTGGCTCACGCCTGTAATCCTAGCTCTCTGGGAGGCCGAGGCGGGCGGATTGTTTGAGCTCAGGAGTTC